CGCTTCTAAGTCTGTGAGCCTCGCCTCCAATGCTGCTAGCATGTGACATTTATTACAAGTACCATTATCGCTAAAGGAGGCAGAGGAATAACTGAACATGCGACACTCCGAGCAAGAGAAAGGAGGAGAGGAAGAGGGGGAAGCCATTGCTCTCGATTAAGCTACTAGCTTAGCTAGCTTCTAAACTAGCCGACCTAAAGTAGCACGTTAAATTTGGTAGTTAGCAAGAACTTCTGCAAAACAAGTGCTTTAAGTGGTGCAAGCGTATGTTGTCACTCAAAAATTCAGATGAACCTAGAAAATAGTGAGTTTAATTCCTAAACAATCTGGAAGCAAGCACAACGCAGTGCAAATACAGAAAACAGGAAATGAGTACGGTTTACCGCAGGAAACAGCAGTCCGTCAAAGGTTCCTTGTGTGATTAATGTAATGTCCTTTGTGCATACAGCAAACCCACATTCTCCTTTTGTGTAAACTGACAACCAGCATGCTTTTCACTGACGGGTAAATATTTCCATTAATCAACATCTTTACCTGGTGAGAATCATTCGGTGGTGGTCCATGTTCCTGTCAGTGTGTGGTATTTAGAGATAAGGGCAAATGTGGTCTCTAATCTATTCTGATCGTCTCGGCATTGCTCTGGGCTTTGTGGGAATTACTACATCAGAGAACGATTACTGGACATCCAGAAATAGTTTCCTGAAAGCAGTATCATCTGTTATTAAACACATTCACACAACTTGGTGTCACATTTTCTAGAATGAAACAAGATGCAGGTCAAAAACAAAAGCAGGAGCTTCAGAGTTTTCTGTCAGGGCCAACAAACGTCCATGTGCTGATCATGTACATTATTTCTTTTACTCTTTGTGGTCTTTCTTGTTGAGATGACAGAGTTTTCATGTGCCTGGTGTTTTTGCCACATTATATTTGAAAGTGAACTAAAACAAAAGTAAAGTTATTGAGTAAATGTTGCCCTTCCTGGGGTATGTAGAGATAAGTGAGGACGATCACTTATCATATAAAATCTTTGCTTCACCATTCGGGTCTCTGAGGGAATGACTGACTCAGTGAAATGTTTTGATTTGTCATGTAACTGATTTCTGATGTTAAACCCCTCCCCCCAAAGGTGTAGTTTACGTGTTCACAAACACAGCAGTTTAATGTGATTAGAACAACAAATGTCAGATGCATGTGATTTGATCACATTAGTTGCTTTAGGCTATTAGACAGTTTTGAGAAATGAGGCTGATTCTGAAACATGTTGTAAAAACTGGATAAACACGTGGAACTAGAAAATTCTGTGACCAATCTGCTTCAGGCCGTCATAAAAGACTTAAGTTAGCTTCTCCTTATCTGCCCCAGAATCAGGGTTGGACCAACCTCCACTTCACTTTATTGTAATATTTGACAGGTGCCATTACTTTGCTCATTTCTGCATTACAGGGATTGGAAAAATATTTTCTGACCTCTGTAAAATATGTGGTAACTATAATTTATTTGTTTTCTTCTCTGGCAGGGATGCACATGACTGAGAGCCCACATACAAAAACAGAGCATATAATGTACCGTTTAATGAACTGCTCTTTGGAGCGACTAATGTCAGAAAAAAGACATGAGGTATGTGTGTAGGCTTCTGTGTTGGCAAGCTGTGTAACCAAAACAAATACGCCAACATTTTGTCTCCCTTCTCAGAGTGCTGTTCATTTAAGATAACGGGCAAAATCCAGTTTTTCTTAGGCTGTGTCTGATGCAATAAAAACTTACATTAGACAGACAGAAAAAAAATCGGACCTACCGGTATATCATATTAGCATTTCTGAAGCTGGAACCTTGTTTTGCACAGGTTGTGTCCTTTGATGGAGTCTTCAGTGCCACCACACAACTGGAAACCAGTTAAATGTAATCACTAACATGTTATTACTTTTAAACTGTTGCATTATTGTGCACATGTAACTATAGCCTTGGACTCCTAGTCGCAGTCAAAATGATTAGTCATGTACTGTAGCTGCTATCACTGCTTGGTTCGTCAACTTGTGGTGCTGATTCTTATTTTCTCCTCGCTGGAGCTGTCTCACTGTTTAGACCCTAAAACAGTTTTTTAAATTTCTTTCTCTCCCTTGTTGTTTTGTTTATCTCTCTCGTTTGCTCTCTGCAGCTGTACTGGCCAGCAAGTCCAGATCGTGTCCAAGAGTGTCTCATGGCTGGGAAAGATCCAGAGGTGATTCAAGACATACTCATGCACACAAAAGGACACACTCACAAAATATTAGATTGCATAAACAAAGCAATGCAATCTATCTTTACTGTGCATTGCCATGGATGGTGGTAATTAGTTTCACAGGTAAGAAATCAGAATCATACACAGATATGGATCAAGTGATTTACAGGCCATGTCAAATAAGCTTTTTTTTAAACCTCTTTGTCACTGCCTGCCAGAAACCATGTGAAGAGTTCTGTAAGCATAAATCTGGACAGTTGCAGGATAGATTACAATCTAGAATGGAACTGAAGTTGAATGAAGCGGATTCATTTTGGAATAATAAACAAACAAAAGTTCCGATACTGGCGAGTATATCAAGATTCGGGTTCGGTTGAATTATTCAGACAACAAAACAACATGTACAGGATGAAATGGACAGACTTTGACAGGGAAGAAAAGAATTACAGATGATGCTTATCAAGCAAACACATATATATACAAATATGGATATGATTATTTTGCTTTCAGGATCACTATACTCAGAGAGCCTTCTATCTGTTGTGCATAAAATCTCTAGCAGCTTGGAAAAAGTTTGACTTAATATTTTCACTTGCAAAACAGAACCTAATGAGAAATATGCAAGTTTTTTTTAATGTTATTATTAAAAAAGCAAACTTGGCTTATTTTGATATTACTGTTCCAGTATGATTATCTGATAAAAGAAATTCACCCAATTAATACACAATACAATTGCTTTACACTATGTAATAAAGTAATAATGCTAAATACTCTTTTTCCTTTATTATTTCTCACACTGTGGTCCCCCTCTCTGTCTTTCTGTGTGTGTATATGTGTGTGTCACCCCCTCTGTTCAGTCGGAGTGTGCTAACTTCCTGAGAGTCCTGCAGCCTTTTAATCACACACATTTGTACATGTGTGGCACCGGGGCCTTCAACCCCCGCTGTGCTTTCATAGCGACTAGTGTCTTCCAGCAGGTAAAACTACACACAAACACATACACACTGATCAGCCCTCACATTGTGACCATCTGCCTAACAGTGTGTACACAGGAATCAATGCAGGAGTTGGTTGGTAATTGTGTCAGTCTGTAGCTCACTGTGCATCTTCTGTGAATTCGTTTGCTTTCGTAGTTCTACTGTCAGGAAGAGCACAAATGTGCTGACCATTCAGTGAAAAACTGGAGTGAAAACTGTGGTTGTGAAGACACCTTAGAGATAATCTTTTAGACAAATCCAACAGCCTCCTCACTCTAGATGTGATATCACGGCCATAGCCTCTGAATATAGAGACCAATATACAGCATTTCCCATGTCACCCATTTAAACAAAGATTCAAACAAAATTTTTTAGAAAGGATAAATGAAATTTTAAAAGTTTAATCTACAGTAGGTCGACATCATCATCAGTGAGCCTCAGGCATCCATGACCCTGTCCCAGTTCACTGTTTGTCCTTAGACACTGTTGGTCAGTACTAACTGCAGACCAGGAACACCCAACAAGACCCTCAGTCTGGGAGACACTCTGACCCAGTTGTCAATCATCACTCTCTGGCCCTTGTCAAAATCGCTCAGATCCTTATGCTTGACTGTTTTTCCTGTTTCCAACACATGAACTTCAAGGACTGAATGTTCACTTGCTGCCAAATATACCCCACACACTGATTTTGGAGCAACATATGCTGCCTTCAAGATGATATCTTTTTTCAGGGATGCCCTTGCATATTTCAACAAGACAATGCAAAACCTCACAGTGCACACATTACCAAGGCCTGGCTATGGAGGAAAAGGATGTGGGTACTGGACTGGCCTGCCTGCGGTCCCGATCTGTCCCCACTAGAGAACGCATTTTGGAGCGCAAATTGCGTCAACAATGACCCAGGAATGTTGCGAAGAATGGGACAAAATGACCCCTGACACATTTAATCACTTGGTGTCCTCAGTCTCAAAACTTCTTTTAAGTGTTGTGAAACTGAACAGCAACATCACACCTTGGTAAACGCTTTACTGTCCCACATGTTTTGGGAATGTGTTGCAGGCATCAGAATTGAAGTGAGTGTTTATTTTGAACAAAGAATAAAATTGATGAGGTAGCACATTAAATAATATTTTACTGGATTGTATTCAAAGTAATACAGGACACAAATCTATCCACCCATCCACTTTCTATACCACTTAGTCCCAAACGGGGTCACAGGGGGGCTAGAGCCAAACCCAGCCGGCTGCGGGCGAAAGGTGGGGTACACCCTGGACAGGTCGCCAGTCCATTGCAGTACAGGACACAAATGATTTACAAATAACTATTTTCAGTTTTTATTTTGATTTTACATACCATCCCAACTTTTTCTGACTTGGGGTTGTACCAGAGTTCACCCACTAATATTATACAATGTACCTTTTGCCACTGAGGCTGCGCTACTGGAGTGTAGCTTTTTCATTTCACATTTTCATGTCAAATATAGTATACTAAAGTGTCTCTCCTTCATTACCCAATGATTACAATCATGGCCAAAAATAATGGCAGATAATGCACCACTTCTCTTAGAAAATTGTTGCAGTCACTAATTCTTTGGTATTCTCATGTCTTTCTTTTGTTTGCATTGGAACAACACAAAAAAGCAGAGAAAAATCCAAATCTAATACATTCCACACAGCTCTAAAAATGGACTAGGCAGACTTACTGACACTGTCAACTTTATATTTGGTAGCAGATCCTTTGGGCAAAATAACTGAAATTAATCACTTCCTGTAACCATTGGTGAGTTTCTTCCACCTCTCTGGAATTAGAATTTTGGACCACTCTTCTTCTGCCAACTGCTCCAGGTCTCTCAGATTTGAAGGGTTCTTTCTGTGCTGTTCTGAGATCTCTCCACAGGTGCTCTATGGGATTTATTTATGGGATCATTGCTGGCCACTTCAGAACCCTCCAGTGCATTTCTCTTTGTTTTTCTGAAGTATTATTTGGGTCATTGTCCTGCTGTAAGACCTATGATCATGTTTCAGATTTGGATTTTTTCACTGCTTTTTATGGTGTTCCAATGCAAACAAAAGAAATAAACATGAGCATGCAAAAGAATTTGTGACTGCAACAATTTCCTGGGAGAAGAGGTGCATTATGTGACAGAAATGCAGTCAGTATTTTTGGCCATGACTGTAGTTGGCAATTTTTCATCATTTATGTATGGGTTATCAATTTGTCAAATAGGTTAATGGTTCTAATTTCCCTCAGTTATACTCGTTTGTGTATGTATCTGCATGCATGTGATGTCAGTGCCAGTTGTGTGCATGTGGGATCAGAGACTGTGTGTGATTTTATATGTTTGTAAGTATGTGCATTCTAACATTCATATTTCTTGAGTACACATATGCCTTTCAACAGTGTGTGTGGGTTGTGTGAGGGGAATAGCTAATCCCATGAAGGGCCATATGAGATCAGATCAGAGGTTTATTTGTGGTGCTTAAAGGAGCTGGTGGTGTTGTCTGGCTTAAGACTGGACTTCACACATTTTAAAATCCATCCACTTAGCCCCAACTAAGTGAATAAAATAACTTATGAATTTTGAATTCACAGCCTTTCAGTTTCCCAAACAGTTTATCCAGCTAATGTTCTCCCTGTCAGAGTAACTTCTCTTTCCGCTTTCTTTGCCAGTCAGAGCACCAGACACTTTCCTACAGCCAGACAGAATGTGGGAAGGGGAAATGTCCTTATGATCCATTCCAGAAAACAGCTTCCGCTGTTGTTGGTAAGGTGACCATCTGTTTTTGTTACACATCAAATACACCTTTTTTTCTGTTGCAACACAAAACAGCACAGTAACAAGAGGAAACATGGGACATGGATAAAAAAAACATTTACAGAAGAATGTAGGGAAGTTTTAAATGTGGTTGGTGTGTGAAGGAATCTAGTAACAAGGAAAAAAAGTAGGGAGGGGGAGTAAAGAAAGATGGAGACAGAAAAGAATGGAAAAAAGGTGTTTTCAATATAGGGGAAGGTGGTTTAAACCAGCAAATAAATAATAAAAACAGGGAGGGGGCTGGTAGTATGTCCGTCCCGAACCGAGCAAAAGGCCACCAATTAAATACGCTTCCAATTACAAGTTAATACAGGAACAAAACATGCCTGTGATGTGTGAGGAAAGTTCTTTTATTTTGAAAAGAGAAGACTAATAAAAAGATATATATTTCACTATATGAAATTTATTATGCATTAACGTATCAAAATAAGCATGTGCACATGGATCTTCACTGTTTGGAAAAAACAGAAAAGACTGTCCTCAACTTGTTGGTATACAATATTTGTATGAAAAAATGTTACTATCTGATTGGTCCAAAACTGTTGGGGAGAAGTCGTGGTTTAAACTTAACTCTCCCAAGATTGGTCCTTCAGTCCGTCCATCCTCCAATCACCCTCTCTGCTCCAATGGTCT